GGGACATGGAGTGATGGCTTCTCACAGTCTGGCTATGAACCAACTGAGACATTTATGTAAGCAGCATGGAGAAGGGGTGGAGGAGCACCCTGGGACCCAGTCGGGAGAGTGGCTGTGGCAGTCAGCTGTGGATGGACAGAGGCTGGCTGGGTCTGAGTAAGCTGGACACATGGCAGATTGGGCTGTGATGGAGAACAGGTCTCCTGGAGATGGGATGAGGAGGGTGTGTGTGTATGGTTGGCGGGGGCGGGGGGGGGGTTGGAGGAAGTGGTTCCGGTCTCTGAGAGACCTGAAAACCTTGAAATTGAATGGAAAGTAGCAGAATGAAACCTCAGAGGATCTCGGCTCCCTGGGTTAGTCAGCTAGCTGTGCTGACAGACCCCAAATAGAGTGGTTCCCAATGGCCACTATGTGTTTCCTGCCCACAGTCAGACTGGCCACGGCCTACTGGGCCTTCTCATCTGAGGGTCATGAGGGCAGAAAGCATCTCTTTAGACATGCTTCCCCGCGGGAGAGGCAGGGAGGACACTGGGAGGCACGCATGGCCCCCAGTGTTGTGTAGATATGTCATCTGCCCTTTTACTTTCCACTGGACAAAATGGCGGGTCACACAGCCAGGCCTGGGACATGGACAGGGTAGTGGGCACAGAAGTAGCTCCATAAAGCTGTCCTGTCTCTCTGTCTCCCCATCTCTCCATCTCCTTTTCCTCTCTTTCTCCCCCTTTTTTCTTTCCTCTCTCTCCCCTGTTCTCTCAAACTATTTGAAAATAGCCTAAAAACTACATGACAGTTATTAAACTGCAAAGGGCCATCCAGACTTTGTCCTTTGGGGCCATCCCTTTGCCAGGGAGCCTCAGGGAGTGACCCTCCGTGGCTCTGGGAGCTGAGCAGGTTCTCACCCCGTAGACCTCAGTCTTCTGATTGTGAGGTGGTGATGACCAGCTGTGCCGTCCTGGCCCTGCATATTTGTTGGGGCTTCACTGGGTGATTTTCTAACACCCCAAGTGGGTCCACTTCCCATCAGGATGGCAGTGTTCTGGGCAGGAGTGGATATCCTTGCTCAACTTGGAGACTCAGCCCTCACTCTCAGAGCTGTGGCATGGTAGTGGAGGTCCACACTTTTGTGTTAACATGTGCTGATAGATTTGTGCAGAATCCAGATCAAGGCTTGTAAAGTGCTAGCATAAGGACAGAAACCTGGACAGTCTAACTCCTCATGACAGGTGATCCAGTACCTCAGGTCCATGCCAGGAATCATATGGGATGGGGTGACCTTGAGCCCTCTCTACAAGCTTACCTGGCAAGAGCCTAGGACTTATTTGATGGATGTGTTCTTTGGTGGGCTGCCATGGCTCCTGGCATTGGACAGGTGACCGGGGTTTCTGCAGATCACAGCACCCCTGGCGCTCAGAATATTCAACAGTGCCCTGGCATCTGAGAGGCAGGGATGCCACCATGGTTAAGGGCTCAGCCCTAGAAATAGACTGAATGATGATATACACTTGGACAGGTCTGGTCGTCTTCCTCGGCTGAACTCTCTGTACAGTGTAGTCAGTAGTAGCTCCACCCCATGGGCTTCTGCGAGGATCAGGTGACATCATGCGTGGCAAATCCCCAGGGTGCTCTGGGTGCAGCACCTGCTTCATCAGTGTTATGATGATTCAGTGTCGAATGTAAGCGAGCCCTTGCTTCCAGGAAAGTTGTGTAGAAACTGGGGCTTGGATTCCTCTTTAGGAACACTGGGTGTTGGCCGACACCATGGATCCCTTAATGCAAATGATTTCATCCTTTGATGATCCAAGGTTTGCTTTTGGAAACACTGTGCAGCCTTGTAATTAAATCACACTCTAGGTCTCTCTGATGTCCCTTACAACTGCATTAGAGGTAGTGGTCACTCCTACTGAATCACTGGAGCTGATTCAGGTGAGGGTGGGATCAACACAGGTCCAGGAGAGAGCAGCACAGGTGCAGGTGAGGGTGGCTGAGGTGCAGGTGGGATCAGCACAGGTGCAGGTGAGGGCAGCACAGGTTCAGGTTGCATCTGGAAGGCGGATGCCATATTCACTGCACAGGATGTTCTGTTGACACCTCCATGGGGGGATGGGAGCTGGGTATCTATCCAGTTCTCCGTAAGTGCCGACATGTAACGAGCAGGTGATGAGCAGGGTGGACTGGCATTAGAGTGAGTCAGGGTTGTCTTCTTCCATCCCGCTGAAATGCTTTGACCTCCCAGGGCAGCTTAGTTCCCAAGGATCTTGGGAATTCTCACACTTGGCTTAGTTCCCACTTGGCCAACCCAATGGAAGTCACCCTCTGCTGCCGTTTCAAAGAATGTTCCTCAGCCAGGTCTCAGGGGAGCTATGCACCCTCTGGCATGACAGTGTCATGACAGCATGACAGTGGGCTCATGAGAAATATGACCTGGGGGTTTCAAATGTCCAGGCTGTGCTCTCGTGGCCGGTATCCAAGAGGACTAACGAGAGTCCCTGTGCCTGTGGGACTGATGGAGGCTCACTGGGTCCCCAGTCTTCTTGCCTTTGGCTCTTGGCTTCATTGTTGTACACTCCCTAGACTTAATTTCCTTTAAGAAGCCCAAACGAGTTCAGCACACTTCAAATTAGCATACCAGTTGTAAATCCGTATGGGACTTTATTCCCAAAAAACCAAATCAGAAGTTGTTGAAAATCAGGAGAGTTTCATCATTATTATTACTGGTTTTTATCATCTTCGCCATCATTTGTACCTACCCATCTGGGACTTGGCCCTCCTGGGATGGAGCTTTGGTTATCCACGGTGATTTTCATATTCAGCAGTACATCTGTCCCAACAGCACCTCTTGCCCATGGCCCAGAGAGGACATCACACCCAGCTCTGCAACCTGCCTGAGCACCAGTTGCTGGGCTGACCCCTCTCTGAGCTTAGTTTGTCTTCTGGAAAGTGGAAGGCACTGCATGTCACCTTTATTGTGTGCCAAGCTTGTTTCTGCACTAATTCACTTAATCCGAATAATGTCTCAGAGTTCACGGTTACTAAACCCACTATACAGAGGGGGACTGAGGTACAGAAAGGCTAATTAGGTGGTTTCATAGCATAGTGGCAGAGCGAGGCTTGAGCACCAGCTGGCCATCTGAAGCCAGAGTCTGCTCACGGAGCGATCACTCTTAGAAGCCTCTTTCCTGCAGGGGCTTCTGCCCTTTAGGCAGCAGGGAAGGTTTAGCAGTGTCCAGCTGTAGTGAGCGCCCAATAAAGCCATTATCAGCCCCAGGTTGTGTCTGTCTGGGGCATACAGCGTGCTAGGTCTAACATCTTATGCTTAGTGGGTGTTGCATAAATTTCTGTGGCTTCTGAGATGGCCCGAGACTTATGAATTGGGCTGGGCAGGATTTGAATTTGTCCCAAGAAAATAAGTGGTCCTTTTTCTTGTTTAGGGGAAGTGGGTGTGATTTAGCAGATGCAGCTGTTGGCCCTGAATCTATGTTACATATGCAGAGCAGAAGAAGGGAGGTGAGCATTTATGCACTCTGGATGCCAATTCCTATGGACCAGCCTGTTGGGCTCAGGTGTGACTCCATAGGACTTGGACCCAGCTGGTTCTGAGCAGCTCCTGCAGTACCAGCTTGCACTGGGAGATGGCGCCCTTCCCCAATAGTTGCAATTTGCTGCCATCCAACCCAGACCTGTGGCACCAATGCCATGCATTAAGGAGAAAAACAACTCAGAGGGAGTCTTTAACCAATGGGAACTTACCCCTAATACTCAGGCCAGGATCCTCTTGGCTGTCATTGAAGCCCTCCCTACAGAGGGAGACTGAGCACAGAGAGAAAAATCCCAGAAAGATGCCTTCTTGGGCAGGCACCAGGGAGCAGCCTACTCTGTCCCAGCCGCTCTCATCCTTCCAAACCCCTTCTGGAGAGGAAGATTAACTGTCACCAGGTGGAAAGAACGTAGTGTGTGTGGCCCTGGTGTCTTTCCTTCCCAATGGCTAGGAAAGTGGAATAGAATGCAAGCAGCAAGCCTCTCTCCTCAGGTTAGAAGGCTACTGCAAATTGGAAAGGTGTCCTGCCCACTCCGCCCACTTCGGCTGAGGCTTACACGTGTCCAGGTGCTGATGCTGCAGAGGGCTGGGAAGAGGGGCACAGTTTGCCTTGCCCTAAACAGAGCATGGCTCCAGAGAGGAACACCTGCTCACCAAGCCCCTCAACACAGACACCAGGTCCCCTCCACGCGTACCTTCAGCCCACACCTCACACTTACGTTTGGGCCCCTTCAGCTCCTCAGGCCTAAACCTACAGTAGCTTCTGCCTGCATCCCCTACTGCGCACAATCGGCACACCAGCCCTCCGGCTCAAACCTGCTGCCAGAAACCCACCATGTGTGTGTGCGGGGCGGGGTGGCGGGGGGTGAAGGGGCGGTCTTTCCTCCCAGGGCCTTAGATAGAGCTAGAGGCTGTCCAGGGTTCTCATTGGAATCTTTCACTTTGCACCCAATCTCCTCTCCCCGACCCCTGCCCCCGCCCCTGCGCTGGCACTGGAGACCCCTGACAGGTCGGGGAGCTCCCCTTCCCAGGCTGGCTGGGACTCTCAAACCACCGGCGGCGAAAAAGGGCCCCAGCAGCAGGGGTGGTGTGGTCCATCGAGAGTGACCCCAGACCCCAAAGCGGGCCTGAGAGGGGAGCCAGGGGCTCGCTGCAGCCAGGCAGGGATGTGAGGGTGGGCTAGTGCGTCGTGGTGGGATGGCAGCGGATGGCTGCCTCGCCGGAATTTTTTTTTTTTTTTTATGATTTGGTGGGGCGGTGTTTTGTCTGTCCTCGCAAGTCACCCCAACTCCCTGGCCGACTGGGGTTTGCAAACCTCCCTGACAGCAGCCAGGGGGCGGCGGGGAGCCGGAGCGCAGAGGAAAAATCCACCCATTTCCTGGGCAGATTGCGTCGGCCGCCGCCCGGCCGTGTCCCCGCCTCCCGGCCGCGGCCCCCGCGCACAGCACGCGCCGCGCTCAGAGCCCGGTGGCCCTTCTCGGCGGCGGAGCGCACAGGGACGCGGCGGCGGCGGGCAGCCCGGGAGGGCAGCGCGCGGCAGGCAGGGCCAACTGGCCACCTCCCCGCGCCGGGGCGGCGCGGCGATGGCCGGGGCGCGCCGGGCGGCGGCGGCGGGCGGGCGGCGGCGGGCGGAGGGGCACGGGGACGCGGCCGGGCGCCCCTGCCCGCCGCGGTGCCCGCCGCCTAAAGCTGCCCGGGGCGCGGGAGCCGGCGCCGGCGCGGCACGGGCGCCGGAGGCGACTGGAGGCGCGATGTCGGTGCCGCTGTTGAAGATCGGGGTTGTGCTGAGCACCATGGCCATGATCACCAACTGGATGTCCCAGACCCTGCCCTCGCTGGTGGGCCTCAACACCACCAAGCTCTCGGCGGCCAGCGGCGGGACGCTGGACCGCAGCACCGGCGTAAGTGCGCCCGCCGCGCGCCTTCGCGGTGCCCCTCGCGCCCCTCCTCGTTGGTGCCCCGGGCTGGGCGGACGCCGCGCGGGACCCAGTCACCCAGGCAGGGGAGGCGGCGGGGGGTCAAGGACAGGGGTCGTGTGCGACCATCCGCGCTGGGGCCCGGCTGCTCTTCCCGCCGCGCCCCCCGCCCCCGCCCCGGCCCCGTAGCTTTACGTCCCCGGGGACGATGCTTCCTCCGCCTGGTCCCCTGCAGGGGCTGGGTGAGCCTGCTCAGGGGCCCCGAAGTCTGGAGTCCTCGCTTACTAATAATACAAAGCCCCTTGATGCAAAGCTTAGGAAACTAAACCTGGGGACTTGGGGACTTGTCCAAGGTCACTCAGCGAGTAAGGGGTGGAGACATCGCTAGACCCCAGTGTGGGCTTGGCCCAGCTAGGACTCAACCCATCCTACTTTGTAAAAGCCAAACTGGACTGACCGGGAGTGGGCCCGCGCGCGGGAGCTTCGGGGCTCCTGGCCTCGCCTTCGTTCCCAAAGTCCCCGGGCACCCTTCCTGACTCTCGCTGTGTGAAGGGCTACGGGGCCTCCCTCCGAGGGTGCAGACAGACTGGCCGGCGCCGGGAGCCCCGCTCTTTGGTGCGCTATCTCACCATCGCCCACCCCTCCCTACTAGCTGCTTCCGGAGCCCGGGGGAGGGGGAGCAGTGACCGGGACACTTCTGGGCAGGGTTGATTTCCAAGGTGGCTGGAGCAAGCTGAGCTGGGACCATCCCTCCAGCAAGGGGGCTCCCATCTAAGTGGAAAGGAGAGGTGAAGGACACTAGTCTCCTCTCCAGCTCCCTTTCTGCTGGCAAGGGCTCAGTGCTTTCCCTGGAGGTCTCGTTGGTATGACCCCAGCTGAGACCCCTGTTTCATCCACCTTACCTGCTATTTCAAAATTGTGTTTTCCTTCATGTCTTTCCACCCCCCCCTGCCTCTGGGTCCTGAGCACCTAAGGTTGGAAAGGAATGAAATCAAATATATCACTACTATAGATTTTCCCTGCTCAACCCTCCTCCCATCCTGTCTAAAAATAGCAGGGAGGTGACCTGATGCCTTGGGGACATGCTTGGAGACAGTGGGCAGGCTGCAAGGGCCAGCAGAGGGTGGGAGTCATCTGTGTGCACCTGGAGGTCAGAGCTACCAGACCTGGGCTGCAAGAGGAGACCAGCTATACACAGCTCTGGTTTCTTGGTGATCTTTGGGGCAAGCCTCAGGACAGAGGTTGGGGGTGACCCTTGCACAACATGTCACCAGCAGTTCCGTGACATCCACCAAATGGCTCGTAGGTGGAAGCCTGCATGGAGTTGGAAGCCCAGCGTCTGGCAGGGAGACACCAAGCTCGGGGTTGTAGAGGCTCTGGACAGATAGGTGCTGGATCCAAGTGTCAGGGAACACAGAGCAAGGCTGGGCTGCACCAGCCACCCCTGCTTGCCTTATAGAGAGGGAAAGTGTGTGATTTCTGAGTCACCCAGCCACTTGCTTTCCTGCCTTGCCCCTCATCCAGTGTGTGGCATCTGCTGGCCCCTCCCACCTCCCCAAAGCATCACTCCAAACATCCTTTGGGTTGAACTTGAATTGTAAAGACTTGAAAGGGCCACGCATCTTTGATTTTCTTCAGCCCTGGCCACCCTAACCGGATGACTCCTTGTGGACCCCTTTCCCTCTGGGGTGGCTGAATTTGTCTTTGCACATCTTGTGATTTTTTTTTTTTTACCTGGATTGGACATGCACAGTCTCCCCGGTTGCTGCCTCTGAGGCCTGGCCTTACTCTCTCCCTTTCTCTCCTTCCCATTCCCTTGCCTCACCTGCCCCCTCCAGGTGCTGCCCACCAACCCTGAGGAGAGCTGGCAGGTGTACAGCTCTGCCCAGGACAGTGAGGGCAGGTGTATCTGCACAGTGGTCGCCCCCCAGCAGACCATGTGTTCACGGGATGCCCGCACGAAACAGCTGAGGCAGCTACTGGAGAAGGTGAGTCTGTGCAGAAGCTTGTGTGTACACCTGAGTGTGCACAGATGCTGTATGCTCATGCCAGCACCAAGGCCTGGCCAGCCTGAGGCCCACCTGAGTCTTTTCTGACAGGTCCTTGCTCAAAATATTTGTGGATGAATGAGTGAGCAGATGAATGGATGGATGGATGGATGGATGGATGGATGGGTGGGCAGTTAAGTGAACAGAGACACCCGAGGGTGGCCCCAGGAGGAGATGAGTACACCTGAATCCCCACCCCCTTCCCACTCACTGTAGGTTCCACTGGAGCCTTGAGGGCTCAATGAGCTAGGATTCAGGGCTCCTCTGCCTCATACTGTTTCTGAGTGACCCTCAGTCTAGTCTAGAGGGCTTAGCACTGCAGAGCAGACAGTAAACCCAGGAGTACCTGGATTTAGCATGGTGGACTTCTCTGCCCCATTACTGAGGGGCTGGACTTGACCTCCCAGGCCTGTGCTACCTTGGATACCTCTTGGTGCATGTTGTCACCTTCATAGCCCACTTGGGGACAGCAGGGTGTAATCTGCTGTACACATTTGGCTCTTAACATTTCACTTAATCTTTACAAGAACGATAGGGGTCTGATGGATTTTCCACTCCATTTCAGAAGCCAAAATTTGGGTCCCAAGAGAAAGACTGATGTCTTCTGGTTAGCAGGGAAACAGCCCCAGACTCCCACCCAGCTCCCCTCTTGTTTGGCCCCCACTCTCCACAGAGCCTGCCCTTTTCTGACCCTAACAGTCACTGGCCTCCTGCAAAGGCCACCCCCAAGTTATCCTAAGTGTCCCAGTCCCTGGGAGCTGCCAAGAAAAGGAGAAAGGGGGAGGGGGTGTGCTTTCTGTTCCATCCACCTCCCTCCCCCCTAGGAAAGCAGGTGTTTGTGTGTGGCATCCTCAGCAGGCAGGGACCCTTCTCACCTTGAGGGCGTGGGGTCACACACCACACACACAAACACACACACGTGAAGCTGTGACTTCCTACAGATTGATCTTGGACTTTCTAAAATTGGCGTCAGCCTAGGAGGATGAGAGGAGGTCTGTGACTCAGGGACAGCCCCTGAGGATGGAATGGACACTCCTTTCCTTGTTGCCCTCTAGCTGGGGAAGGTGGGTGGAGGCCAGCCTTCCTTCCCAGGACCAGCCTTCCTCAGTTGGACGCCAATTTACCCACTTGCCTCCCACCACTGCATTCAGAATGAATCCCCTTTCTTGGACTCAGTTTCCCCGACTCCAAGTTGCACCAGTGCCTCTGCAAGGGACCTGGGACCTTGTTTCCTCTGGTGGGAAGCAGCCAGCTCAACAGTGGTGAAGGAGAGTGAGGGTTTGGTTTACTTTGTTTCTATTTCATCCTCAGTCACCTGAGTAAATCATCTGAAAAGAGTTAAAAGTAAAATGCGTTTAACAGATTCCATGAACACTTATTCACACAAAAGTAGCCCGAAACCTAATTGAGCCTTTAATTATTCAGAACTGTAGAGGAGCAAGAAGGCCCCTACTGGGGCCCCAGCCAGGGGGCCCTGGGAGAAGGTGCCTGGGGGTGGGGGTGGGGGAGGGTGTTGAGAACCAGGAAAATGGGTTCCAGAAAGCTCTAGGGGCTCCTGGGAATGAGGCCGTGCAGCTTTCCTTTCTGCCTACGCAGGCCACAGCGTTGCTACTTAAAAATTTAAAGCCTTTTTTCACGCCGTGTGCTACTCTATTTTCGGCAGGCCTGAGCTGTTGGTTGGAAGTGAGGCCCTTGGCTTAGTGCACCAGGCATTGCGCCTTAGTGCCCTGGGCCTGGCCAGCTCTCTGTCTTTCTCTGCTCCTTTCCATCCTGCCTGTGCAGAGGGGCGGGGCAGGGCTGGGCAGGGCCAGGCACAGACATCACTGCCTTTGTGGGCAGACACCTGGAAGAGGTTGAAAAATCCAGTTCCTGTGCCCTGCCCTGGTGACTGAAGCACAGCTGAGCATCTTGTGGCTAGTTCCTTCTCTGGCTTTGTGAAAACCCACGTGGCGAGATGGCAGAGGAGCAGGTCCTGGGACCTGCCCTAGAGGGTCTGATTTTGTTGGCCTGGAGCCTTGTCTGGTGCTAGGCACCAGGATGCCTGGACACCTTTCTCAGGGTTGTGATATGCAACCAGGGTTGAGGCCCTGAGATGCAGGGAGAGGAACCAGACAGGGAGGGGACTGTGTTCTCTCTGAAGACCACAGGTTCTGAGTGTGAAAGCACAGGCTTTGGAGCCTCTGTCCTCAGACCGGTTGTGAGGGTAGCACGTTGCTTTTCTGAGCCTTGGTCTCCACGTGTGTCAAGTGGCACTCAGAATAGCTTCCTTCCCAGGGTTTTGTAAGGATCAGATGAGATCAGTATGTGACAGGCTCGGTGCCTGGGCAAGGAAGATGTGCAATAAATACCAGCCATTAGTCATCCTCAGGAGGCCAGGTGTGTGGCTGCATGGCATGATGCCCTCCCCTGAGGCTTAGGGCCTGCTGCCACACGGACTAGGGCAGTAGGTTTTTTTGTGACCTTGAGCGTGCTGGTTGGGCTTCTCAGGGACACATTTGGAGGTGCTTTACAGGGTGGGAGGATGGGGGTGGTGACCCCAGTTCCATTTTCAAAGGCTCAGTTGAGGGACTGGCCAGGAGTGTGCTGTCAGGGTTAGAACTTAAGTCAACTTGGTATTGTTCAGATTTGTTTTTTAAATTTGAAGGCTGATCCTTAAATTTTAAAACTTGTTAAAAGCATTCGTCCTCTGGGGGACAAAAAAGACCACCACTGTGCGTGGTTTCCTGCCAAAGCCAGCGTGGGCTCAGCTGTTGCCCCCCACACACACCGCACAGATGACATTTTAGCCCTGCTCTTGCCAGCATCGTTGCACCCTAGGAGCGGAGTGGGAAGAGGGCCTCGATCAAGCTGCTACTGCGCTGTCTTCTTCCTCCCAGCTGCTGGGGCTCCTTGCGCTGGGTGCTGGGCTCCATCTGGGGTAAGATGTGGATGATGCCCAGCGCCTTGCCTCGCTGAGCTTCCTGAGAGCAAGGTAGATAAGACAGGTGTGTGGCTGGCTCCTTCCTGCAAAAGGTAATATTTCTAAGTAATAGACAGCCTCCTTTGCCTTAACCTCATCTGGAAAGCACCCTGGAGGCAGTGGTGTTTGGACCTTGAAGGATAAACAAAAACCCAGCTGCACAACCTTGCCCAGAAGATGTGGTAGCTGCAGTTACTCAGACACAACGCAAGACAGGCAAGGGGAGGCAGGGAAAGACAACAGGACAAACACATTTCAGATTCTCATAGAACGTCTAAAGTTAGCCCCACGCTGTGTTCTACGAACTTGAAGTGTTAAAGTGAATTGGTACATGCTACTTGCAAATACCAAGCCCTAAAATTCCATGCAGTTTTTAGTGCTGAGTTAAGCAATACTGGTCTGTGTTGCTCTCTTCAATTTTACCTTCTTGGCTGGTCTGCAGGGTTTACAGAGGAAGGCTACCATTGTTCTGACCACTGAGCATAAAGCTAAACCTCGTATCCAAATGACTGTTCCTAGAAGGGAGAGTATTTTCAAATTCAGCAAAAAACCAGCAATGAAGATTTTCTGTTCCAAGGTGCCTTCCTCCCTAGTAATTGGATTAGATTCTGAGAAAATGACCCTAGCGCACTGCAGCTTCCTGGGCTCCGTTGCACCCCACTCCCCGCCCTGAGTACATTTGCACGAAGCCCCAGCCAGTTTCCTGAAAATGAAATGCACTGGCAGGCGGCTGCACCCAAACTGTTTTTCTTTTAAGCTCTCTGGAATCCTGTTGAATATTAAAGTCCCATCTTGAGGCTACACACTCAATTCCGATCGGCTGTGAGGGTGTAAAACAGCGATTCTTCATTTGCTGGGTGATTGATTCCTGACTCTGTGTTCTGAATGTGCGTGTTTGCCGAGCAGTCATCTGCCTATGATATTGGATGGCGTGCGGGGCGGGAAAAAGGCTCGGTGTCGGCTCTGCACTTATGCCACCAACCCTCTCAGCAAGGCACTCGCTGAGATTTAAGAGAGAGGGGAATTTATGCCTGGGGTGGGGGAGCCCACTTGGGTGCCTCCGTTGGTATTTAGCATAACGGAGACAAAAGAGAACAGACATGGCCCTCGCTTGCTCCAGACCTCATCCAAGCTCCTGTGCTTGGTGAAGCTGGAGGCTTTGCCCCTAATTTGCCTCCCTGATTGTAAGATCTCAGTGACAGAGGGAGTGTTTACCCAGCCAATTTGCTGCCTTGGGGGAGCGCTCCGTCCTAACAGTCCTGAGGCTGGTGATTAACTAGTAAATAATGCACCGGGCCGCTGCTGGCTCCCAGGGCGCTGCCTGTGGAAAAGGTCAGCGTGGCTTCCCAGCAGGCAAACGAGAAGGCAAATGAGATCGTCCGGCATCTGCTGCAGCAACAGCCTTGAACCTGTTACCCTTTTGACAGGTGCAAAACATGTCTCAATCCATAGAGGTCTTGGACAGGCGAACTCAGAGAGACTTGCAGTATGTCGAGAAGATGGAGAACCAAATGAAGGGACTGGAGTCCAAGTTCAAACAGGTGGAGGAGAGTCATAAGCAACACCTGGCCAGGCAGTTTAAGGTATGTATACCCCTCCCTCCTTCCCTGACGTCCCCCTCAGAGGAAGCAGTGAGTGGGGGCTGGAGGGATACATACAGCAAGGATTGCTCTTGGCCTTGCTAAGGTCTGCTGCCCTCGGGAGTAGAGAAGCCCCTCCCCCAGGCTCTATTTTGACAACAGACCCCAGGATGGGGCGGGCTCCCATATCTCCTCCGTCCGTCTGTTTGGGAACAGGGGTCCCAGACCCTGCGCTCTACTCCGCAGGCAGAGCGCATGTTAGCTGGGAAGGACAGTGATTATTGGTCCTTGTCATTCCACAGCGACAGCAGGTAAATCACATTAGCTGAAGATTAGCTTAATTGATTAGAGCCATTTCTGGGCAGGGATCACTCAGGGCAGTTTTTCACATCTGACCTAATTTAGCTGTGACGAGGCACACTGTAGACGCAGGGGGAAAGAGACCAATGTCTTTCTCAGCTTGTGGTAAGTGCTCTACATCTCCAGGTGACCCTGGATGTTAAAACCAGTTTCTTTGACCTGAAATTATATATACATATGTACAGGTATGTATATATATACACTGACCGTTTACTACGACTAGGCCGAGAAATTACAAGTCACCTTAATTAAGGTATACATGCATGTTAATTAGGAATCAGGCCCGATGTAAATGAGCAGGTCAAATTACACAGCCTCGCTTGGCTGAAGATTGCTGATGTTCCTTTCTCTGTCTTCCTGTCCTTTTATGCTACTATTTTCTTTGATGTGCTTTTACATGAAGCAAGAGCTAATTCTCCATTAAAAGCGATACATTAGCTAGACGAAACGGCAAGCGAATCGAGTTATACATCTATATTATAAATAAAATAGTAGCAGGCTTGATCCTGCTAGGGTGAAATGAGCTAGTGGCTCCAGCCCTGGGCAGGTGTCCTTGTTGCTAAAGTGAAAATTATCTTGGAGAGGGATTTTGACCTTTCTGACCCAAAAGAGTTTCTGTGTCTCTCCTTGGAGGCCACCCTGCCTCTCCTGCTCGGCAGACTCCTCTAAAGATGGGGTGTTGGAGGTCGCTCACCTTGGCGAGGAGCACTGTCCACAGGGGCATGTCTCCGAGTTCCGGAGTGGGGGAGCATTGTAGCCTGTGGGGGAGGAAAAGCCAACCCACTCCTTGGTGCTGCTGCTTTCAGTGCATTAAGGAATCCCAACAGAAATTGTGAGGGAACCCAAGTCGTTACTAAATCAGTTTGTTTCCCTAGCATTAAAGTGTGATTTTTTTTTTTTAAGTGACCGTGCAAATATTTGGCTGTTTAAGGCAGGCTAGTGAGCTAGCTTTTCAACGGTGTTTCGTTTTCTTGCTTGCAGGGCTAACTTAAAAGCGTTTTTTCAATGCTGCATTGACTGAAGAAGCAGTCCAGTCCCATGTAACCATGAGAGAGCCAGAGAGCTTTTTGCACCATGCATTTTTACTATGATTTTCCAATCCTTAGCACCATATCACTAAGGAACCTTGAATCCAGCCAGGATCCTCCTTTGCATGCAACGCTAGACGCATTTCACAAATAGTTTGAACCCTTGTCAATGCATTTTTTGAAAAAGAAAGAAAAAAAAAGAACTTTGTGTATGTGACTTAAAGCATGTAACCTTAAGCTGTTGCATTCTAAACTGACAATAAAGACTTTCCCAAATATGTTTGGTGTTCCGAGGACTGTTTAATATGCTCTCCTAATTCATTTGGACCAGGATAAATACCGGTACCTAAAGCGGGAGTGTGCACACCTTCCTCACGTAGGGAGAGGCCAGGCCAAGGCAGGGTGTTACGAGTTCTTGCATGCATTGCACTGAACCCAGCTTATTTTAACCTTGCAGGCAATAAAAGCGAAAATGGATGAACTTAGGCCTTTGATACCTGTGTTGGAAGAGTACAAGGCCGATGCCAAATTGGTATTGCAGTTTAAGGAGGAGGCCCAGAATCTGACGTCAGTGCTTAACGAGCTGCAAGAGGAAATTGGCGCCTATGACTACGATGAACTTCAGAGCAGAGTGTCCAATCTTGAAGAAAGGCTCCGTGCATGCATGCAAAAACTAGGTAGGCCCAGCACCCTTCGGGCACACAGCTCTGTCCTGCCCGCCTCTGGCACTTGCGCAGGCGTAGAGAGTGGCGCTGAAGGGTCAGCACCCAGCTGGCTTCAGCAGGTGAAGGTTGTGTCAGGGTTCCTGGGCAAAGCAACCTGGAAAGACAGCAGCAGGAAACATAGGCAGCACCTGTCCCAGACCATTGCCCATGTCCAAGCCCCGTGCCAAGGCCTGCTCTACACCCCCCTGGTTTCACACCTAGAAAAAATGGATGGGTGCGTGTGCGAGCATGGATGTGTGTGAGCTCGTGTGTTTTTAAGACACAGGGTCAGTAGGATTGGAAATGTACTTCTCCATCTAGGTTGAGGAGAGAGCTGATGAAACTCCTTGAGATAGTGGATCACGCTTAGTTCAGACCATAAAGAAAAGGAAGCCCAGTGACGTGGCAGGTGTGGGATCACAGGTGAGCAGCCCAGAAGGGGTGGACCCATGAGCAAGTGAACCTTTCTCTGGTTATGCTCCTTACACAGGCTACCAAGGCAGTGACCGCTCTGGGTCCTCGTGTCTGATGGATTACCCACTTGCCTCACCAGCCCTCCAGATGTGAACATACAGAATGTCAGGTCCATTTGAAATTGCACATTTCACATCTCAGTCCCATTTCTAGTCTCCCCTCATAAGCTGTTCGTTGTGATATTAAATACTTTTTAGGGTAACTTAAAGTAATTTTCAGGGTAATTTTACCTTATAAAGAATTTTCCAGGTTCCACCTGATGTTCTAACTTGGTTCCCTTTCTACCCATGCACCAATCGATGCTTCATTAAAAATTTAAAACATCCAGGGACAGCGAACACCTTTGAAACTCCCTGGTGGTGTTAGGTGAAAGAGAGTGGCACAGTGGATCGACTAGGCTTCTGTGCCATCATCCCGCAAAGCACAGGCTGGGAAACAGGTGGAGTTTGGAAACTAACCAGTTTTTGGTTGTGTTTTTTGGTGATACTGGGGTTTGAACTCAGGGCTTTGTGCTTGTGAGGCAGGCACTCCACAGCTTGAGCCACACCTCCGAGCTTTTTTACTCTGGTTATTTTGGAGATGGGGGTTCACTTTTTGCCCAGACCGGCCTGCACCACTTCTTACCACAGCAGGGATGACAGAGATGTGCCTGAAATGGAGTCTTGCACACTCTTTGCCCTGGCTGACCTCAAACCACCATGATCCTCCCAATCTCAGCCTCCCAAGTAGCTAGGATTATAGGTGTGAGCCACTGGCACCCAACCACTAACCGATTTGAGGGGACATTCTCACTGTGTCACTGAGGGCGTCATCTCCTGTGTGTTTTCGTAGTCCCAGTGTGGCAAGGGCTGGTGGCCTCAGATGATCCAAGAGGGCCAGGTGGATGGTTTCCAGTGCCTCTCACCTCACCATTTAGGTGGTCAGTGGTGAGTGTGATGGTGTGGAAGGTTGATGACAGGCTGTGTGGATGGATAATAATGACCCACATGATTATTTGCCCCCCATGATGCCCTGAACTGGCCAACGCCTCTCTCCTGACCTTTCCAACACTCCCACTTGGCATCTCCCTTGCCTCTGAGAGTCCAGAGGTGGGATGTTCTGTGGGTGTGTTGTTACTTATTCCCAACAGTGTTTCAGCCTTTCCACTAGGCACTGTCTCAGAGCTATCCTAGCAGCCTGCAGCCTTGATGGTTGGCTGCCCAGGACTGGGCCGCTGGGCTGTGAGTGGTACTCACAGGTGTGCAAGCTGGAGATACCCAGGGAAAACCAAGAGTCACCTCCACATCCAGGAATCAAAGGGCAAGACAAAAAATTATCAGCGGGAAGTTCCAAATGCTGAGAAGCCTTTGGGAGGGGGGCACCACCCTTCCCAGGGTGAGCCAGACTTCCCATCTGTCCTCAGCCTATTTTTAGCAGCTGGGTGAGTTTACCTTATGGCTTAGGATCTTGGGTCTTTCACATGGCTGCCCTTGGACTGCTGAAACCATCGACTTGGGGGTGAAGAGAGAATAGCTAGGCCCCTCAAAGCCATGTGTTCCTACCCCAGGGCACAGCACCGTGACGCGTAATTCTTCCTCCGAAGGGCTGAGACACGCACAGGCCGAGGAATCAGAGTGGCAATAGGTGGGTCTGTGACCACACACAGGCAGCTCCGACTGTGCACACAGGACTGTGCATCCCTGGGAGCAGCACCATAAAATAGTGAGTGCTGCCAGCAGCTGTGTGGCTCTCCCAGACGTTTACCATCTCAAGTGTCAGCTGCCTCCTCGTCTGCAATGGGCAGAGAGCCCATGGGCCCTGGGTGGCTGTCACACTTCACGATGTCATTCGTGAAGTACTGGCTCAGTACTACCTGGCAGGAGGAAGCAAGAGGTGGTGACAGGACAGAATGGTAAACAGACAGACAGGTAGATGGTGGAGAGATAGAAGGATGGATAGATGGGTGGATGGATGGATGGATGGATGGGTGGATGGATGGATAGATGATCTATAGATGATTGAATGATTGACAGTAGATAGGTAGTAGAGATGGCTGACAGATGATTGATTGATGATTGATAGATTTATAAATAAGTTTAGCAGCTGTCCCTCTTCCCAGGTTTTCACTCAGCTCAGTAGCTTTAGGACCAGTTAGTACCCGGCAGCTGCTTAATCTAGTTTTTGTTTGGGCCTTGTGAATAGACAGTGTCTCAGGGCCACCCTAGGAGCTTGTTTCCTTGATGGTTGGCTGCCCAGGACCCAGCCTCTGGGCTGTGAGCTCCACTCGCTGCCAGTACCACGGGGTGGGTGGGTGGGATTCTGCACATCACAACCCAGTAGACCCAAGCATCTTCTCAAGCCCTGGTCTCCTTGGCTCTGCTGCTATGAAGCCTGACTAGGGGCCTTGGCTGGCAAGGAGGGCGAGGTCTCCTATAGCTCTTAGAATCTCTTAATTGGACCTGTCCTGGCTGCCTCCTTCCCTCAAGTCCATGTTGCTGACATTTCCTGACCCAGAGTGCAGGCAGAAACAAGCAAAGGAGGACTGAGGTTCCCAGTGCTTCTAGAATCCCTCTTATTGGGATTGTGTGTTTTTCCTAATGGCCTAGTCACAAACTTGAATCAAAACTCTTTTTAGGTGGGAAGGTTAAGCCTAGCATCTCATAGGCCTTGCCTGGAAGGCCTCAGTATCCCCTACAGCAAATCTTGTCCCCAAAGTAGGAGAGAGGCAGTGTTGCCCAGCACTGTCTACATCCTCGTCCCCCTGAGCTAATGCTGGGCTGCAGAGTCAATCCTGGTAGCTACCCTGGTAGGCATGAGCTCCAGGCACAAGCTGCCACACAGGCCTCAGCTGGCCTCACTCCTGTTACGTTGTCCTGGAACCAATGCCCAGGGCTTCCCGAGTTTCTTGTCTTTTAGAGAACAGGAAGGAACCCCAGAAATGCAAGGTCAGCCAGGGAATTTTGTTCTACCAAGGACCCATCTTAGTGAAGGCTCCTGGCTCCAACTTCAGTGCCTTTCAACAGCCAGTGAAACCTGTCATCTGGCATCCACCCTGAGGGGAGTCTCATTGTGGCTCCTGCCCTTTTGGGTGGTAAGGAGAAGTTGGGTGTGGAGCTGTGCTTTGGCACCCATCCTACACTCTCTCTGGGGAGAGGAGTCTGAGGCTATTTTTTGTTCCTAATGCTTGAGAGATCATGAAGGTCACCAGGCAGAGAGATGGCCTTTGCTTCCTGTCCAGGACCCTGCACGGGCCTGGGCCAGTGAAGTGCTGGCAGGGGCAGTGGGGAGAGCAGCTCACAGGTCCCATGTGTCAGTCAGAGATTGGAGAGTTAAGGATACCACCATCTGAGGAGTAGCCCTTGGATGACAGGGAGGAAAGAAGCCAGCCCACAATCCCTATCAGACTCAGGTGGGATCCTACCCAGCCAGGCCTGCCTTTCCAGTTCCCTCCAGGAAGTGCTCAGGATAGCATGTGCTGAGTATCTCCTGGAGGCCTGGCCTTTCCCTACCAGGGCAAGAAGTGAAAGGGGAGTCCAGAATGACCTCTCAGGGACCCCCTCTGGGCGCTAGGTCTGATTGTGAGGCCCTAGTGGGGAGCTGCAAATCTTTCAGCCTAACTCTTGTAGAGTATGGGGCCAAAAGCTAGGAAGAGAGGTAAGGAGCAAGCCAGGCCCAGGACGCCTGCTTTCAGCACTCAGTTCTCTTGTCTCCACCTGCCCATAAACCTCTCTGTCCTAGCCTGAGCTCCTGGTAGCATTTCATTTCTGGCCTCTTCCCTGAGATGTCCAGGCTGCTTTCAGAGCAGTCTCCTCCCCGGAAGAGCAAAAGGCACATGGTGCCATCCCGGGGGCATCAGCTTGTTCAGCTTCCAGCTTGGCAACAAGGCCTCTCCTTCCTGAGACCTCCCGACTGGTACACTGTTCCTTCCTGCCTGCCTCCTCTGGGTTGGACCCTGCAGGAGACTTCCTGAACCTTCAGAACTGAATCCCCACTGGCCACCCTGTCATCCCCTTTCCCCTCTTCCTGTCCTCCACCCTCTGCATGTCTGTGCCCTGAGTGCGTGACTGGAGAAGGGCGCTTTCCCGAACTGGATGTGCCAAGATTCCTCCAAAGCTCAGCCATGGGCTTTTTTAGATCCTGCCAGTTTCTGAGGTCTTGGCAGAACCACTCTGGACGGAGAACCAAAATAACTCCCTGGCTCAAGGAGGGCGGGCTGCCTCCAGCCCCGTGGGTCCTGGGAGCCTGTGGGCAGCAGCTTGGAAAGCAGGGTACCTGCCGGCCACACTTCCCTGCTGTCCTCACCAAGAGTGGAAGCTGACTCCAAGCGGCAACTGTGCATTTGGAGGCGAGCTGACCCAGACCTTGAGCCACTGTTGGCTTCCCAAAGCAGCTGAAGGTCTGGTCCAGGGTGAGCAGGACCTGCTAGGATCTTCTAAGGCTGCCCCTGACCTGGACTTGGCTGAGAACCCAGTCTGGGTCTGCAGCAGGCTTGTTCTGGAAGCCTCCCCTGGTGACCTCCAGCTCTCACAAGGCCCTTGAGGATACTGGTGGTGTTCACCGACTTCTTGGTGACAAGAGTGAATGTACCCAGGGTAGGCAGCACTCACCAGGGGTTCACCCTGCTTCCCCTGCCATCCCCAACACTGGGTCAGATGGCAAAGCAATAGTCAGGAGACACTGCTGAGAGCTGATTCATTCAGCCATTTGTTTATATGTGTTTGGCAGAGTCAGGCCAAGGCAGGAGGCCTCTTAGAGCAGCGAGACCCAGATGCTTATGTCCACAGCCCCAGAATATGTGGGCTCGCCAGTCAGCCAGTCAGTTAAGGACTAGAAGGGGGACAGGGTTCAGGATGAGGACATCTTTGGGGACAAGGCGTCAGTCTGGGTCTAGCCCTAGAAGCTGGTTGGGAAGGCAGGGCTGGCATTCCAGAGCAGGGACAACGGGGGCCCAGGGCCAGATGTCTCAGCTGGTGGGCATTCACCTGCCGTCTCCACCATCTGCAGGCAGCACACAAGATAGATGTGTCTGGTCTCCAACCTGGAAGGGGCCTGCTGCAGGCTTGGGACTGACCTTTAGCCTGAGTCCACATCTTGAAAGGGCCAGTGATTGATATGAGATGGATAGGCTGACCGTTTTTGTGCCCTTGGATGGAAAAACAGCAGCCTTCCACCTGGGTCCTCAGCCAGGGCACCCTGGGAGGGATGGCTCCTTTGACCTCTCTTACTAGGTCACTAAGAGAACCATGTCCCTGGGGTCAGTTGGAGACCTTCCCTGGGATATCCTCAGGAAACATGGGAGCTGCTCTCTTAGCAGCCCCGCCTCCTTCAGTCAATAGGAGCAAAAGAAGAAAGAGCGGGAGGTGAGGGTGGAGTCCAGCTGAGGCCTTTCCTCAGGCCTTCTCCTCTGCCTGAAGCCCTTAGCCAACTCCCACCCAAATCCTTGAGAGGAGCGGGGTAAGAAGCCAGTCCAGGCTTTCGTGGAGACTGAATCTCCATGAAATTTCTAAGAAACTGCAGTCTTCCTCACCTCCCATCCCTGTGGTCACTGGTTAATCTTGGCCATCACCCTGTCCCTTCTCCCTGTCTCCTTCCAGACCAGAGCTCTGGCAGAGCTGGGCCATGTACACAGAGGCCCAGCAAAGTCACTGAGGTCTGATAGACCCTCGTACCCACTGCCACTGGAAAGTCTCATCTGTGAGGGGTGGTGGTGGCATAGGAAAGTGGGGACAGGAAGGCATATTTGGGAAGGAGACAGGAGAGTGGGGACAGTTATGGGGATTCCTCTCCAACCTGGGCAGAGGCACCAGCACAGGGGACTTTGGTGGGAATCCAGGCACAGAGCTGGACTTTCTTGTGCTTATAGTGGACTCTTAATCCTGCCAAACCTCCCGATGTCCAGAGACCCCTCTCCTGCCTAGGAGTCTTGTACAATGCTGCTGTGGACATGTTCATCCCACTTTAAATTTGGGGGAGAGCACTCTGAGGCAGGACTGAGTGGGTCTGGCTGCTTCCTCCCAAGGGCTGAACCTGCCCTCTTCACTGTAAGGATTATCCTGGCTTCCCTGTGGTCCCTGGGTTAAGTCACTGACAATCTTCCATAAGCGCCTGGATCTTCTCTGAACTTTGCAGGCTGCTGTGTACATATGTTAATACGGCAGCCCTTGCTGGGTGCCTGTAGACTTAGGAAGTCATATGTAGGCCTGGCCTGAAGGGAGAGGGAGAAAGGCACAGAGAGGGCCCTTTATCAGCTGTCCCTACTGGGGACCAACCCACCACCTACCCCAGGAGCGGTTTGCGTTTTGAGGTGGGCTAAGATTTGTGTATTCTGGAGGAGCTACGTGACTGCAAGCAGGCTGGCTTCCAGGAGGGAGGAGTGGCATTTCTGAGCAGTGTGGTGGCTGCCCTGCACCGCCAGGCACAAGCCTGAGACCCATGGGGCTCCAGGAGGGGGGGGAATGCTGGGCTGTAACCCCAGCACTGCCTGAATGAAGGACTGGCCTTGAGCGCATGCCTTGCAGTCTCCAGATACCACCTGTAAGGTGGGAAAGCTGCAGAGGTCATGTCCAAGATCCCATCTACTGCATTCCTGCAGGAGAGGAGGGCTGCTGGCCCTTCCTCCTAGACTAGTTCCAAGGGACAGAAAGGTGCACGGGGGAGAGAGTGCCCTGAGCTATGCTGGCCCTGTGCTGCTTTGCGAGCCCAGTCCTGCCTTGTCCAGTGTCTCCTGTGGAGCCCAAGTTCTGCAAGCATGCGGGTAGTTTAGCGCTTTACCTCCAGCAGCCTCAGGAGACTGACCTGCTGCTGTCCCATCTCTCAGAGGAGAAAACTGGGTCTTGCCATGGCTGATGCTCCTCCCGGGGGGGCTGCTGTCGAGGCCCGCTGGGCATGGCTGTTCAAGGATGGATGAGAACAAGAAAGATGGCCACTTGATGCTCTTCCTTGCCCATTCTGACCTCACTTGCTCTGTCTTGGGGAAGGGTGACTTTGCTGTCCTCTGGGGCTGGTTGTGGGTCCTGGAGAACTAGGGCATGAATAGTTGTCAGCAGCATCCAGACCTGGAGGGTATAGGAGGAGGCAGCATTGGTGGGGCTGAGGCCCTGGGTCTTTGGGTCCTGACTGTGTGCTCTGTTCCAGCCTGCGGCAAGTTGACAGGTATAAGTGATCCGGTGACTGTCAAGACCTCAGGCTCAAGGTTCGGGTCCTGGATGACAGACCCACTGGCTCCAGAAGGTGATAACAGGGTAAGTGTCCCTTATCTTGTTATGGGGACCACTTGGACAGGGGAGCTCTCATGGGACTTGGTTTCTGTCCCTATCCTAACACCTACTGTGCCCACCTCCCAGGTAGCCTACAGCAGGGTCTCCAGGACCCTGGGAAGGCTTTGGGGAGGGGCCCCTGTGCTAATCCAGAGTCACAAAGGGTGGGGCAGGCTTGGGGGAGAGCCAGGAAATCCACAGAAGGAGGCAGTGACAGAGCCTGCCTGGTCCCTTCAAGCCCCTCCCAGGCCTGGCTCTGCCCAGAGCTAAAACCTCAGGGCTGTTCCCACTGCTGGGGCCTGCTTCAGGGATAGAGCCCATTAGGCTTTTCTTGTTTTAATGGCGTCTCATTCGTGTTTCATTTACCATTCCTTTCATGACTGATGGAAGCTCCTGTTCCTTTTTGATTTCGGGAAGAGGCTCAGTTCTTTTTTCCTGGGCTTTTCCCCCCCTGGGCAAGCCTTAGAAAAGGAGAGGGAAGTCATTGCTGGCTCCTCTTGCCTGGGGCCTGGGTTACTAGCTCAGCTCTTGAGAAGAGGGGGTGGGGCAGGACCAGCTGTATGTCCCTTGCTGGAGCCTGCAAAAAGCAGCTCTGAGCCTCAGGTCTCCGGTGATCTCTCCAGAGGGGGAAGGGAAGCTGTTTGCTCTCCCATCCTGTCCTTTAGCACCACAGGATCCTGGTAGCCAGAGGAAGCCTCCCGGGGTCTGACATTTCTCCCCCTGCAGACTCCTTCTGGGGTCTGCAGCACCGTTGACAGTAAGCACTTCACTTTCTCCTCTGGGCCAGTGAGAAAGGAGTCTGGAACTCAAGCTCCTCTACACTTTCTCTACTAAAGAAGCTACTAATGAATCTGCTAATGAATCTATTAATGATCCTCAGGCTTCTGATCTCATGTTTCCAGTGCAGATAAGACTAGGTCCCTGGGATGGACAGGGACGGGGGTGGACAGACCTTCTAGACCCTGTTGTGTATCTAACAGCCTCAAATAGGGCCTCCCCCGTGCCAGGTAGCCTCACCTAGCGTTTGCTGCCGGTAAGCTCTGGAGGGCTGGCTGGGCTGCGCTGGGGATACGACTGGGCCGCAGTCTCCAGTATTTGTGGAGAAAGGTGTTTTCACCTTATCTTCTCAAACATGATTGTTGGTGCTTGGAGGTTTGCTCACATTTTAATTAATTTAATTGGCTGCTGTCCAAGTGCTCTTTTACCCCACTTCCCATCTGGACCACCCACCTCCACTAGGGGTTTGGTTAGGAATATCCTCTCACTGCAGTACGTGGAAAGCAGGTCCAATGTACCAGGTACGGTTCTAGTTCCAACTGCATCTTGTCTGGGCACCAGCTCCAGGTCTTACTGAGCCAAAGGCAGTGTGTCACCTGGCCACACCTGTGCCTCCCCAAGCACTCTGTACCCTCCAGCATCTCATTCTTCCCATGCAAATGAGAAAACAGTGCTCAGCACCCATGCGAAAGGGTCAAGTCCTGCCTGAGGTACCAGGGAGGCGGGGCCAGGCTTCACTGAGCACTTGACTGGCGGGCATAGGTGTCTGTGGCAGGACTGACATCACTGGCTGAGTCTCTTGTTGCCACCCTCTTGGGTCCCCTCTACCTCCTACCCGCTTTCTTCCCCTCCTCACTATATAGCCCAGGCAAACCCTCACAGGCAAATGGGGGTCTGTGAAACCCTGGTTGCTGCAGAGGAGAGCCCAGTGTGGAGCCTGCTGGCCGTGTCTGACTCTGCAAACAGGCCTTCAGTCTCTGTGGTCTTGGGTCCTTTGTCTTGGAGGGCAGTAGTCAAGTGATGTTTTTTCCATGCACTAAGGACCCGGGGCTGCCAGAAGCCTGGCTGTTTGCTTGGCACAGCACAGCAAGGGTATGGGTTCACAAAGCTGTTGGGTGCCCATGGGTGCTTTTGATACTTAAGACATCTATTTTCTGCTTCGTGGCTCCATCACCCTCCAGGAGAAGATGCTCAGGTGGCAGATGAAGTGGTGAGAAGGACCCGTAGGGGAGGGGGCCTTTCTAGGGGGTTGGTAGCACAGGAAGGGAGGGAGCGGGATGCTGGCTGGCGATGGGCATTGTGACCCACATGCTCTGCACAGTGGCCTGGGTCTCCCAGCCTGCCAAGTGCCACATCCCCCAGCCCTACCATTGATCTGCACCAGCAGTGTTTTGTTCTGTTTTGATCTTTTCCTCTCTCCCATCCGATTTTGATCACACACACACAGGAGACCAATAACTTGCCACCAAAAAACCAAAATAAAACTGGATGCTGGCTTCAGAGCAGGCTGCCCTGGAAGGCACCATGAGAGGGCAGTGGCCAACGCAGAGGGGATCATCTCTGGGTCCTGCAGAGCCACTCATTCCCCCTCATTCGCGTGCAAGAGGAGGGGCTGTGTGAACCACTCGCAGTGCTGACCATGTGACTGTCCCGAGTTGCCTCTACATCAGGCTTTCCTTGATACATTTACTAAGTACCAACTGTGTGACAGGAACTCTTGCACCGAGTCCCTTGTGTGGGTTCCCAGGGCCCACAGCCCCTGAGGCCTGGCCCTTTTCAGCAGCACTAGGAAAGGGAACCTGCTCAAGGATTCTACCCAAGCATGAGGCCCCCGCCAGGCTGTGCACCACCCTGGGAGCTCCTGAGTGAGGCCCACAGCCCACTCCAACCAGGCCACCCTTCTTTAACCCACACCCCCCTTCCTTCCCTCATACTGGCATTCAGATGCAGAGATCCCAGGCCGGTTCATATCAGAAAGGGGACCAGCACAACTTTCCTACCACCCCACGAGGTCCACATTCAAAGGCAGTGGTATAATTCCTAAAACACTGTCACTTTACAAGCAATAGAGAGCTTAGGTAACCCAGAATTTCAAAGTCCTTTCCTGCCATCTGCACAGCATCAAAGGCAGAATTACCCAGAATGCACCCACCAGCTTATGTCCATGCCCCATCAGTGTGCACGTTGTCCCTCCTAATCTTCTCTCTGCGGGAGTAGGGCCGTTCTGGGGCTGTGAGTGTTCTCTGCTCCCCTCTCTCCTCCCCTTTAGCTAACAGTTCCCCTCAGAGCATCTTTTCCAGAGCTCAGCTCCTTGATGTTCGCGACTGTAGCGGGAGGACATGTGACAGATGCCCAGCCAAAGGGAAGTGCAAACTAGGGCCTGAGTTCCTAAGAAAGTCCCCTTAAATAGCATCGCTGCACACCTCCGTGTGCCACCTCAGATGCACTGGGTGCGTTTTGTGAGGTTTCAGGATTCACGGCGGAAACAGATGGTCCCTACCAGCTCTGTCCTGGACCACAATGTCCCTCCTCACTGCAAAGCAGCTGAGAATAGTCAGGAGTGTTAGAAAACCCCATGCTCTCAGCAAACACCGCCCTGTGGCCCTGGACTGCAGTGGAGATGTGGGGAAGACCTAGTTTTTCTGCAGTCTGAGAAGCCTTGTCCTGTGGCCCTGCATTGTTTGTGGACATGTGCAAGTTCACTTGCAAGGGAAGGTGCTGTATTTTCTCTTCTCTGCCAGGATGTCATGGATGGAGCAGGGACTGGGCGGGGCTCAGGTCCAGCCCTAAGGCAGGCCAGGACAAGGACAGATGTTGCAACCAGGCTTTCCACTTTGAGGAAGCAGTCCTCACACCCTGACGGCCTATGCTGCAGAATTGAGGAGAAGCTGTGGCTGGGACATAGCTGTGCAGCACTGTCATTGTCTGATTGTCATTGGACCCAGAAGGGAGGCTGATTCACAGACCACCATGGGCTGTCTGCCAGGAGGCCTGAGTTCCAGCCCAGGGTCCCAGACCCTGGAACTGGGTCAGTCCTGGTCTACCACCATCACCTGTGCAGGCATATGGGTTGCAGAGCTGCCTGGTGACATAGAAAAGTGTCACCCTGCCTGGGGTCCCAGTGGGCAGTGTGGCACAGAGCTTTGGGGGCCACACAGAGCTGGAGTGTGGACCTTCCAGCTGCCCATACCTGCACTACCTTTGGACATTTTTTAGTTCTATTGGGACAGAAGGAAGGACAGGAAGTAAGGCCTGCGAGGGCATGGGTGGTGAGGTCTCAGAAGATGGTTGGAGACTCACTGTCGCCTTCAATCTGTGCCCATGGATGACTCCTGCTTTGTGGGGCAGGGCGAGAACAGCCTTGGGAGTCTAAGTGGAAATGACCTGTGTTAGGTTCAATGCAGCCACAGATGGGCTGTGTACAAAGTGCTAACAGGTGCGTTCACCTTCTAAGTAACAGAACTGGTGGCAACCAGCCACAGTTGGCCATGTAACCCCAAAAGAGACTCTCTGGGCCTCCCTTAACTGGGGGTCTGGAAGCAGTGGTCTCTGGGGCTCTGTCCTCCTGGCCTTTGCAATTGGATAGAGGTCGTAGTTCTCCCTTGCTGATGTCCTGGCCTCACTATGATGCTGGGCTCAGAGATGAGCTGGTCCACAGATGTCCTGAAGCCTTTTCCTTTTGACTGTGTGTGGCCCCAGTGCACCTCTTCTGCCTCTTCTAAGGACACTTGTCACTGGATTTAGGGCCACCCCAATCCAGGATGAGCTCACCTGGAGCCCCTTAATTGCATCTACTATGACCCTTCTCCAAATAAGAGGCACCTGCAGCTTCAGCCTGTGGTCTTGTCTTTTGGGGTCAGTATTTAGCCCACCAGGAGGATGACACCTATCTGCCTGAAGGGCAGGACTTGAGAAGTGCCTCCCAGAGGTGCATGTGGGTGAGGGGAGGCAGGAGGCAGAGCAGTGGATGCCACTCCTACAGAGGCCCCAAGGCACTGAAGGTAGGAGGCACACTGGACTCGGTGGTGTCTAGGGTGTGTGGGGGGAGGCTTGTGCTGTGTGTGGGGGGGTGGGGAGGTGTTGTTGCAGAATCAGTCAAGGACTAATGTAGAGGAGAGACAGGTTCCCAGTAGCCACTGAGGCCAGTTTGTAAGCTGATTGCATAACCCAAGGGGCCAGGCGGCTCGAACCAGGTCCTAGGTGCCCACTAGTTATGGTCTACAGAGGTAGGGCCACTCCAAGCAGTGTGGTATGGCCTGAGTGGACCCAGCGCTCTGAACCTCTGACACAGGAAATGGGTGGTGACATATGGGTCACATCCAAGCCCCTGACCTGAGGTCTCAGGCTACGTGGGAACACTGGACTCTTGCAAACAGCCAAGGATGGGCTGAGCACTCTGGCTCCTTCCTCAGACTCAGGCCAGGGCACACTTGTCTCCCAAGTTGGCCACCCCAGGAAAGGAGTGTTCTCTGCTCACTCTCAGTGAAGCCCCGTGTACCGTCACACACTGGCCTATAAACATGCCCTCTAGACTGTGGCATCTAAGCCAAACCCTTCGAACCCCAAATCTAGCTGCACCCAAGGGCCTTTGAGTGGGACGGGGTAGGGGTCTGGATGGAGTCCTCTTGAAGCAGCTGTTTTTCCCCCCCCGAGCACCAGAGGTACTCACTTGCCTGTTGTTGAGGGTCTCTAACTCTCAGTGTGCAGACCAGTCTCAGAGTATGACTTGGGGACACAGGCTTTGCCCTGTAGGGGAGCAGCAAGCAGAGGAGCTAAGTGGACTGAGGATGTTCCAGGGGGAACAGTAAAGCACCAGGGCCTGGGCTTCTTGGCCTTACCCCAGACATTTGTGACAGATCATTCTAGATGGTGGAATGCCCTGTGTGCTATAGGGTGGAGTACAGTATCCGCAGCTTCTGGCCACCATATCCCAGAATCCTCCCCGAGGTGTGGCCAGCCCACACTGCCTCCAGGCATGGCTGTGGCCCCTGAGCAGACTAGTGATTTCGAGTACAGAGTTTGGAGTCTGTCCTGGCTCTGACCACTGGAGAGTCACGCAACCTCCTGACCTCTGTTTTCTTGTCTGAAAACGGGGCAGAGCCAGCTCTGTCAGTGCCTGGGCTCCTGTAAGAACTGATAGCACAAGATGAAGCCAACATCCAGCAGAGCAAGAACCCCAAATATAGACACCCGGTGCCCCCAGATATCCTGGCTCCCCACTCTGCCCTTTAGCTGGGTGTCCTTGAGAGTAGTTGGAAAGAACAAATAGGTCCTTCCAGAAAGCACAAGAGCCAGGACCCTCTGAAAACCAGCACGGTCTTTGGGGCTGCCTCAGAGTGAACCTTGACGGATTCCATGTGAGCCCTGGAGGAGACGGGAAGCCAGCAATGGCGTTTCAGTCAGGGAGGTCACAGCATAAGCTCAGAGGACAGGCAGGGGCTCCTTGTCATGAGACCCTCTGGCATTGCAATTAAGGCCACCTTCCCTCAGCTGCACCCAACCCAGAGCCCATGGCTGACTGTTTAGTCCCTGGCACGGATTTGCCCTCCCACCTTAAGCTGTGTTTGCAGAAAGTGTTGTGCCTGTGTTTAATTCCTTGGTGATGTCACGTGACTCTGCCCACGGGAAGGAGGCATTGCCCCTGAAGGTACAGGGATGAATCAGTGAGCCCCACTATTATCAAAGATCCACAACCAGTTGGGAAGTCCGCTCCCTGCTGAGGGGTGGAGAGGGGGCTAGAAGAAGCAGAGCTCCCTGTCCTGCAAGAGGGTCAGGCAGAGGGGTGGGAAGCCGGCAGCTTTTCAGCAGTGAGATCAAGGGATTTCTGTGCATGGCCCCGCTATCTCCAACACCCCTCCCAGTTCTAATCCATGACCCCATCATGGAGGGCTGGCCTGAGAGAGGTGAAGGATGAGAACCGCCTCAGTTGAGACATGGTTTTAAAAAAAACTTCATTAGAATCAAAAAGCACATCTGCCTCTGCGCGTCTGCATGGATGTCTCAGGAACAAGGTTATGATGTTTTTTAAATTTTTAACGCATGTGTCATGCCAAGCCTGGAAGCTGCCGCTTCTTTACTTAATCTCTCCTGCAGCTTCCAGAGCTCTTGATGGATAAAGCAGCTGTCTTGCTGCCAGACAGATGCCCGGGGAGCGGCCTTAGCCTGCCAGCTTTCCTCCGCTAACTGCGCTGCTTTCTCATTTGCTCCCAGATTGGTTGAAAATGACCAAAGTGTTTTGTTCAAAGTCTAGACGGTTCTCAGGTCAACTGGCATTGAAGCAATCCTTGGAAATCGCTTCCTCTGTAACCCAAAAGTTGGGCCGCTGCTGGTTTGTTATCTTGGTTGATTTGGACAAGCAGAGCCTCCTTCTTTCAGAAGCACTTTCCCAGGATTACTGTGACCCTGAGTGATTACACTCACAGCATCCCCCAGGCAGAACTAATGACGTTCTACCTAGCAGACGAGATGACTCAGTCCTTCCCTCAGTGATGGTGTGGCGGGGCGGAGTGGCCTCACGCATAGTGTCCCCTTGGCCCTTCCCAGTGACCTGATAGTCACTGCAGAGAAGAGATACCCAGTGTATGAGCATCAGTCCTCTCCAGGGCTTGGCAGCTGTGTCCTTTACAATCCTGTCACACTGGCCTTGGGGTTTGACACTGATAGAACTCCTTTTTCCAGGCCCTTGGCCAGGGTACGGCAGTGGCAAACAAATGTGGCCACTGCCCCACAGCCTGGTGACATCCCAAGCAGAGAGCTCCATCTGGGGACCCGATGAGATTTTTGGTGCCACCCACCCCCACTGGGCATAGGGTGACTGCAGCCTATGCGTGTGTGAGACCACTGGGGCCCCAGACTGTTCCTATACCTGGCACCACTGTACCCTTTCCTCACCCTGGACCCTGTGGTTTTGGAGGGAGGACAGGACACAGTGTCGTCTATTGATTCTTTCAGCTGCTTCTCTTGTGAATTCCTAGTGAGAGGACAGATTCCTCCCCAGGCACCCGGCCAAAGCTCCCTCTGTCCCCTTGGGGACACTGACGAGGTCTGCTCTCTCCACAGGTCTGGTACATGGATGGTTATCACAACAACCGCTTTGTCCGAGAGTACAAGTCTATGGCGGACTTCATGAACACAGACAACTTCACCTCCCACCGCCTCCCACACCCCTGGTCGGGGACAGGGCAGGTGGTCTACAATGGCTCCATCTACTTCAACAAGTTCCAGAGCCACATCATCATCAGGTTCGACCTGAAAACCGAGACAATCCTTAAGACACGCAGCCTGGACTACGCCGGTTACAACAATATGTACCATTACGCCTGGGGCGGCCACTCGGACATCGACCTCATGGTGGATGAGAACGGGCTCTGGGCCGTCTACGCCACCAACCAGAATGCCGGCAACATCGTCATCAGCAAGCTGGACCCTGTCTCGCTGCAGATCCTGCAGACCTGGAACACCAGCTACCCCAAGCGCAGTGCTGGCGAGGCCTTCATCATCTGTGGGACCCTGTATGTCACCAACGGCTACTCAGGGGGCACCAAGGTCCACTACGCCTACCAGACCAATGCCTCCACCTACGAGTACATCGACATTCCCTTCCAGAACAAATACTCCCACATCTCTATGCTGGATTACAACCCCAAGGACCGTGCGCTGTATGCCTGGAACAACGGCCATCAAACCCTCTACAATGTCACCCTCTTCCACGTCATCCGCTCTGACGAGTTGTAGCTCCCTCTACCTGGCCCAGGGTCCAAGTCCTCCCCTCTGAGGACCCTCCCGTGGAACAGCTGCCAAAATGATACTAAGAATACTAACAGTACTATTTTTGAGAAATCAGCAGCAGCGATTCTGACATCACGGGATGGTATTCTCTCCGTGTTCCTCCCACTCCAGCCAGCAGGCTCCAGATTTGGGAAGAAACCCCTGTATTTGCAGCTGGAACTGCAGCCCCAGGCCCCCTGGCTCTCCCCACCCCTGTCCCCCTCTGGTCAAATACCATACTAAAGAAGCAAGGCAATGACTGTTGGCCACTCTCACCTGAGAACAACCCATGGTTAGGATCGCATGGACATTTCCGTAAGATCGTGGGCAGTGCTGATAGATATGATGGTCAGATCCCCTGAGTGTCCTCTCCCGGGCGGCGCTCCGTGTAGGCTGGTTTAACCCACGCGCCATCACAGCTGCCGTTCTTGACTGGGTTGTTGTCTCTTAGATTTAACTGTGCTGAAACTCTTGGTAGTGTCTAGTGTCCCCTGAAGGGACGGTGGGTGTGTGTAGAGTGCATTTGCTGTACCCACATCGTTTGAACTTGCGTACCCTGTAGCTATATCGTGCAATGTCTGTCTGTTATTCCTTGAGGTGGTAACTCCGTGTGTTCAGTTTATGCAATGAATGTTGTAATGCAATGCTGTAGTTTGGATTGATAAGTGGATGGTTTTTGTTTCTAAAAAGAAAAAAAAAAATCAGTGTTCACCCTTCTAGAGACATAGTCAAGTTCATGTTGATAATAATCAAGGCATTCTTTTCTTGTTAAATTACCTGAATCATGTTAACTGCGAATGGGAAGGGCTTGTCTTGGGAAACTTCAGTTTCCGATGGAAGGAAGTCCAGGCGGGCAGCAGAGTGTGGAAAGGTCATTTTTTAAGTTAAAAAAAAAAGTGGGAAACTTTGTACTATCTCGTTATCTAAGGAACAATAAAAGTAATAGGAAACATTTGTGCTTTGCTTGTCATTTCAGAAGGCTTTAAAGTGATGGCAACTACTGGATCCTTGCAGATGCGTTCCAGGGTGCGAATGACCCTTTCAAAATGGGACGAAGGGTCCCTCCTTTTGGAAGAGGGCAATGGACACATTCCCCACTGGACCCCAACCCTCTGCCTCCAAAGTTGAAACTGGACAGTCAGTTTGGAGTTCCCGTCCCGCTTAGGTGAATCCCAGGTGCCACTCAGACTCAGTGGTACTGCCTGGAAGTCCACCCCCCCCCTCCAAACCCCTCTCCCCCGTCTCTTTCAAGGGCACAATGGGAGAAACCTGGGGCCGGCACCCACCGTAGATGGCCCTGATGTGGCAGATAGCTGCCAGCAGGAACCCCTGAACAGTTGGTGAAGGAAGCCACCCACCCCCTAGCCAGCTCACTCACCAAGGGTTGCCCCAAGGTACAACATAACACATGGGGAAGCCCAGAGGGGCCCCACATCCCAGCAGGACCTGGGGTCTCTGCAGGACACACTCAGAGTCTGGATTCTTTCTGACCAGTAAAGGGACAGCATGAAAACTCTCCCTGTACAAAGTGGTGCTCCTGGCCCTACCTTAGCCCGGGGGTCCTTGCTGGGTTCTGCGGTGTGGCAGAACCATCTCCCTCTCACCTCCCCTCTGCTGCTGGCAGCTGGCTCCCCTCAGCAGGGTGGGCAGTAGGGCAGTGATGATGGTGGAGTCATGTGCACCAACCATTGGGCAAACCGTCTTTGCGAGTTCCTGACACTTGTCCTGGGAAGGCAGCTAGATGGTACCCAGGCAGGGCTCCAGTGACGCTCAGCTGGTACAAGCTGATGTCCAGGATGCTTGGTGCTGTGGAGTCAAAAATCCGAGGACATCTAAGGACATACAATACCTGTCCCTACACCCACACGGAAGCTGGCATGGTGAGCCAGCTGGGGAAAGAGGCAGCCGTGCTCATTGGGAGGCTGTCCCCAGCTTGGTCACAGTAGGGGCCCTTGTCACCTAGCCCTTGGCAATAGTTAGGAAAGCATGGGACAATGCACAGGTGTGCCGGTAACTGACCACAGGGCCTGACACACAACCTGCTTGGCCACTGCCACTCATGGTACCACAGGGACCATCCCCAGGTTCCCTTCTCAATGGTTGTGTGGCAGATGACCACAAACAGTCTAGACCTGCCCTGCAGGGGACAGTGGCCACTCTGTCCCTGCATTTGCCCTCTCTCAATCTGCCCAGCCTTGCTCCTCCCCCACTGCTCCCTGGACCTCCCAGACAGGGAGCCCTTGCACCTTTCCTACTGTCCCTCCTCCTGGCCCAAGAGGCCACCACCTTTTGGAGGCCCTTCCTCTCCCCTACATCATGGAGAGTCCGTTCTTTCTCCTGTGGTGTCCCCATACCTCCACAGCCCTCTCCTTCACCAGCCCCTTCTTTCTTCAGTTCTGTCGCATCCAACATACCCTCTGGAATTTGGGGATTTTTTGGTATCCAAAGCAGGTGACTCTCCAAGGCCTAGACAAAAAAATCCTTTCTTGCTTTCCTGTCATTGCAGCCCCTGCATTTCTCTGGCCAGTGTCTACCTCAAAGTGACGGGGAGGAGAGGAGGGGGCAGAAGTTGACCCTTAATTACAGCTGGCAGTGGCTCCTAGGGCCAGTCAGCCCTCATGCCTTACCATGGGACGAGCTTCCAATTAAAACTTTTGGAAGTGGGAGGCATTTTTATACTTTCATGTGTATAAATTATCTTGGAGAGAGACGGCATGTGAAACCCCCCCACACACCCTGAGAGACAGAGGAGCTGGTTATTAATATAAAAACCCTGTGTTTCAATAAAGCCACAGCTCAGCCTGGGAGGCCACCGTCTTTTTTCCGGGTGTGGAGTCTTATCCGTGCACAACCAGGCCGGTGGTTCTGTAATTATAGGCTGTAATTATGGGTTGATTTCCATGTAATTTTCCCTTAATGACAGAGTAAAATACAAATGTACCTGTTCTTTGAGTCACAGGAAGACAAAATAATGACCTGGTGGGCCCAGCATGGATTTGCTGTCTCAGACTGAGTGCTTGCTAGGGAAAACATTCCTCCAGGAGATTAAATACGCAAGAAAAATGGCTCCATCCAGACAGCGAAGAAGACAATCGCCTGCCACTAAATCTCCTAGATTCCAATAACTGAATCCATTGGCTGGTGGCAGAAAATCTGTGGATGAATTTTCTTTATTAAAAGTTTGGCCTAGAATCAAAATCCTGCAGTTCTTCGGGGTACTCAGATATCAGAACATAAGACACGTGGTTCTCTTTGCAGCTGGGGTCTTGTCCCTAAAGGGAGCCTGGGATTGTTGTCCCCCAAGAAGCATGGGACTGTCCTCTGGCTCCATTGAAACCCAGGGCTGCTTATGTAGAATGTTGGAGGCCAAGCACAGCAACTTTCCTCCCGATCTGTGCTACAACAGTGGGCTGCAGGAGGCAGCCGCTGGCTGGAGCAGTGTGCTTGTGAGGCTCTTGGAATTGCAGGTAGACAGCAGGGTGCCATCCAAGAATGAGGCCGGGGACTCTGTCCTTTAGGGGAATGAGAGGATTAAATAGGCATTCTGGTGGCCTTGTTTGCTGTGAACTTTCAGTTCACATCTTTTTTTGTTGCTATTGTTTTTAGAGGTACTGAGGTTTGAACTCAAGACCTCGAAGTTGCTAGGCAGGTGTTCTACCACTTGAACCATGACCGCCAATCTTCCTGCTGTAGTTATTTTTCAGGTAGGGTGTAGAGGTTTTGCCTGGGTAGCCTCAGACTGTGATCCTTCTACCTATGCTTCCTGTGTGGCTGGGATGACAGGCTGGGTCACAACAACCCGCTTTTTTATTGAGATGGGTGGAGTCTTGCTAACCTTGAACTGCAATCCTCCCAACTTCTACCTCCCTGAGGTGGGGTGACAGGGTGAGACACCACACCTGGCTATCCAGCTCATATCTTTTGATCATTGTTCCCCCCTTTGGTTCTCGTTCTTTTCTTTCTCAAACTTCAGGAGCTCCTTTTGTGAGTGGCCATTAATTAGCCTTTGAGGTTCCATCATGGAACGCGAACATCCCCTGCTTGTCTTACATCTCTTGATTTGGGTTATGGTGGGTTTTTAATGCAGTCAAATAGTCATTCTTTGAACACCTTTGGTGTTTGAGTCACAGTCTGCCCTGTCTTACCTCCTCTTACTCGTGTTTCTACTGGACTCGTGCAGGCTCCCTGCCTATGTGGAGACTGTCAGTGCCTTTGGGGTTCCACAGAGTAAAGTGAGGCCAGTTTTATCTTGGTCCAAAGGCTGCCCAGTTATCTCAGTACTGTTTATTAAAGAGACCAAGTTCTCTCGCCAAGCCCTATGTACTTGGCTGTTTTTCGGGACCTTCTCTTACTGAGTCTGTTTGGTGCTATTTTGGGACATCCTACCGTGTGGCTCAAGAGCCCACTTCCATAAACCAGGCAGAGCTCTCCCTGCAGGGGAATATTCCGATCTCTGGGCCTCACTTCAGTGCTTTTTAAAGCCATCTTTAAGAAGCTTATGTACAGTGGTCCCTGGCCCCTGTGACTGCAAAGTCTTACTCAGGAATATTCAGGATATTTGGAAACAACTGGTTGGGTATGTAAAGACTGAGGTTGTGTCAAGATACCTTGTGTCTCCAAGACAGCTCTTTGTTGTTTTAAACCAAGTGCCACATTTCCAAGGCTTCAGAGGACTGTCAGGCCTGGTGAAAGACCTTTCACGGAGATCCCTCACCTGCACAGGGCTGTCACCTCCACTTTGTAAAACTGGAGGCTGGACTTCAGCAGCAGCCAGAACCTGGCTGACAGGTGGCAGAGCTAGCCACAAACTGGGCGGCCAACCTGGGCTGTGTTCTTGCAGCCCTGGGTTGGACACTGGGCACTCACGGTGTCCTCTAGCCTGTGAGTCACGGCTGCTTACTCATCACACAGCAGGCAATGGAAGGTGCCAGAGAGATGTGGGGGCAGGGTCTGGGTTTGTCCTCCAGCCCCCAGGGCTGGTGAGTCACTGTGCCTGTCACTGCAGCCGGTGCTGATGGTACTCCAAGGACGCCAGAGCCAATAGTTAGGCACCTCCTTCTGCTTCTGCCCCTGCAGGGAGACCTTTTCTCCAGGTGGCCTTCATCCTGCTGCACGTGACACACGCAGGAATACACTGCATTTGTGTGACACACACTGGCTAAGGTCACACTCCCCACTAGGAGCAGAGTCACTTCATGTTAAGAAGCAGGCCTTGGGAACTCACGGAACCCTCCAGGCTTTTGTCTCCCCCACAACACGGAAGCACTCTTTCTGCTCGCCTGCTTCTGGGTATGCTGCTTGCATTGTGTCCCCACCCACCCCCAACCTGCTGCCTGCCTGCCCAGGGCTCACAGGACCTCTAGCCAGTCCTGAGTCCCATGTGGTCACAGTGAGGGAGGGGCAAAGCTCTGACAGGGACAGTCACCCAGACTTTGACCCGACCTGCCTCCACCATACACATCTGCTCCGTTCTCAGTTTCTTGGCCCAACAGTCAGGGATGCCAATGTTGGCTCGTGGGGAGCAACCCCCACAGCTTAGCCATCCCGTTCATGGAGGGGTAGCCGTAGCACCGTGGCATCTCCACCCCGGTTGGCAGAAGCAGCAGACATCACATCTAACGTCGTCAGGGGCCACTTGCTTGGATTAACTGGAACGTAGTTTCTTGGTTTGTTTGGGGGTTTTTGGTGGTACTGGGGTTTGAACTGAAGGCCTCACACTTGCTAGGCAGGTGCTCTACCACTTGAGCCAATGCACCAGCCCTGTTTTGTGTTGGGTATTCTCGAGATAGGGTCTTACGAACTATTTGTCCCTACTGGCTTTGAACAACCCCTGATCTCTGCCTCCCCAGTAGCTAGGATTACAGGCATGAGCCACCAGCGCTCACCTGCAACATTGTGCAGGGTTGTGCCTGTCCCAGCCTCAAGGCTCCAGGGCCTGTGCTGGCTGC